CGGGGGCAGAAAGCAAGCAGCGAGGAGACACCGAGCACGTACTGGGGGAGTGAAGTGGTGACAGCCTGCAGCCTCCTGTCAGCCTCAGTAGAGGGTGACATCAGAAGGGAGCCCAAGAAGATGCCAGTCAGCTCAAGTGACCTCCCCAGCTCTTTGCCCCCTGCTGGCAAGGGAAGGAATTGCAGCGTACAGATACGAACCAGTTTATGTAAGGACTTGGATTTTCTTTTTTTTTTTTTTTTGGTCACTTGTACACTTTTTATTTTTTATTTTTTTTTAATATATTTTTTATTGATTAAGATATTACATATGTGTCCTTGTCCCCACGTTACCCTCTACCCCCCACCCCCCAACCCCCCACCCCGCTCATGCCCTCACCCCCCCGTTGTCCATGTCCATTGATTAGGCCTATATGCTTGCATATAAGTCCTTTGGTTGATCTTTCCCCCTTACCCCCACCCTCCCCTACCTTCCCTCCAAGTCCCGACAGTCCAATCAATGCCTCTCCGTCTCTGGATCAGTCCTTGTTCATCTGTTTATGTTGTTCATTATATTCCACAAATGAGTGAGATCCTGTGGTATTTATCCGCTCTCCAGTTCCATCCATGCTGTGGCAAATGGTAAGAGTTCCTTTTTCTTCTTCCTCTTCTTAAAGGATACCTTTCAGCATTTCATATAATGCTGGTTTGGTGGTGATGAACTCCTTTAGCTTTTTCTTATCCGTGAAGCTCTTTATCTGACCTTCTATTCTGAATGATAGCTTTGCTGGATAAAGTAATCTTGGTTGCAGGTTCTTGCTATTCATCACTTTGAATATTTCTTGCCAGTCTCTTCTGGCCTGCATGGTTTCTGTTGAGAAATCAGCTGACAGTCGTATGGGTACTCCCTTGTAGGTAACTGACTGTCTTTCTCTTGCTGCTTTTAAGATTCTCTCTTTATCTTTTGCTCTTGGCATTTTAATTATGATGTGTCTTGGTGTGGTCCTCCTTGGATTCCTTTTGTTTGGGGTTCTCTGCGCTTCCTGGACTTGTAAGTCCATTTCTTTCACCAGGTAGGGGAAGTTTTCTGTCATTATTTCTTCAAAAAGGTTTTCAATATCTTGCCCTCTCTCTCCTTCTGGTACCCCTATAATTCTGATGTTGGTACGCTTGAAGTTGTCCCAGAGGTTCCTTACACTATCTTCATATTTTTGGAATCTCTTTTCTTTTTTCTTTTTCGGTTGGGTATTTTTTGTTTCTTTGTATTTCAAATCTTTGACTTGATTCTTGGGATCCTCTTGTCTGCTGCTGGATCTCTGTAAATTATTCTTTATTTCAGTCAGTGTATGCTTAATTTCTAGTTGGTCCTTTTTCATGTCCTCCATGGTCTCCCTATACTTATTGAGGGATTCATTAAATTTATCGGCGGTTTCCATAAAATTCTTGAAAAACCTTATAAACGTGGCCTTGAACTCTATATCCAATCGTTTGCTTTCCTCCATTTCTGCCATTTGTGACCTGTTTCTTTGTCTCCGCATTTTGGCAGCTTCCCTGTGTTGATAGAGTGGCCCTGTGCGCCAGGTGTCCTGTAGGGCCCAGTAGCTCAGCCTCCCCAGTTACCTGGGGTGGACACTCTTGGTGCACTCTTGGTGCCTTGGTTGTTGTAGAATCACTGGGAGGAATTGACCGCCAGGCCAATTGGCTGTGAGAATCAGCTGTGTCTAAAGTGGGAGAACTTCTGTGCCGAAGACACCCTTCTGGGGCAAGACTTGCTTCAGTGGGGCTTTGGTGCTCACTGAGACTGCACCCTGAGTGTGTCCCTTATGGATCTGAGGAGTTGCAATCTGGATGGCCCCCCTCTGACCACTGGGTACAGTGGCTCCTGGATCTAAGGAGGTGCTAATTCAGCCTCTGCCTGAGGCCACACAGCAGGAGCCACGAAGAGGCTCAGCTGTGAAGCAATGCAAGCCGCTGCGGGGCCTTGGGCCTTCTCTTGGAAGTTCCGGGTCTGCCTGGTTCGGCTGCAGTTAGGTACATTCACATGCAAAAGCCTCTGCCGCAGCCTGGGTGGGGCGGGGTCTCAGGGAGTCAAAGGGCGGAGAAAGCGGCTATGGCCGATTCTCCGCCCGGAGTCTCGCGTCTCAGTGTCCCGGTAATGGCTGCAAGCACCTCTGAGGGAAAGCCGCCCTCAAGTTCACCCGCTGCCAGACAGACCAGCCTCTCCCCGTATGAGTCCTGGGTCCCCAGAGACTTCCCGGAACCGGAGTTCAGAGCAGTCCGGAGCTTGTGATTCAAAAAGACAGCCGCGTCCTCAGGCGCCACCCCCTTTCCTCGCGCGCGCGAGCCGCCGTACCTCTGCACTTCACCTCCGCAGCGCCTCTGGCTCTCAGCGTGCTTTTCTTTCCTTCTAGTTGTAGAATTTACACTCAGCCAGCCTTCCTGTTGTTCTGGATGATGTTTGCTCAGTCCTTTGCGGTAATTTTCAATTGTTGTGTGAGGCGACAATTTCCCAGTGTTTACCTATGCCGCCATCTTAGTTGCCTCTCAGGACTTGGATTTTCAAAACACAAATATTCAAGTTAGGCACATAAAACATTAATAATGTAAGAGGACGTATCCCTTGGGACATTCTGTTGAATGTCATTGAGTTCATTGTGATTTGAAATATAACGGCACAATCCCAGAGTGCAGCTGGCTGGGCAATGCTCAGGGTAAATAAGTGGGTTGTCTTCCACAGTGGCCTGGGGGTGCGTTCAGGGTGAGTCTTCATGCCTCTGGCCTTTGGGGTTTGGGGTCCAGGTACTTCATGCACCCCTGAACCCAGATCTCCGTAGCCAGCTTGGCTAGAGACCGTGGAAGAAAGACGTTAGGATGAGCTGGAACCTTTGTGTCAGGGAAGCACACCTCTTATCTGGCTGCCATGTAGCTGCCTTATTCCTCCTGGAGTTTGGAGGTGCTTACCTTGGACTTGACTGGAAAGCTTATCTCCAGACAGGTGATAGATCTGACTAACAGCTGTTTGCCAATAGGGAGGGCTCCCACCTGGCTTGCTGGTTTGCAATCTAGGCACTTTGCTTCCCCACTCTACCCTGGCCAACAGACAATGCCAAGCTTCCAAAAGGTGTGGCTCCTGGAGCTAGAGGGCGCTGGTGAGGTCATCTGCCCCATCCCCTCATTTCCTGCCTGGGACACAGTGCTAGTTCCACTTTTGAATGGGGTGTCTTAAGACCGGAGAGAGAAGTTGACTTGCCCTAAGTGACGCGGAGAGCCGGGGTCAGCCGTGGGATCAGAAGCTAGGTCTCTGCTTCCAGGGGGACCAGCACTGTGGCACCTCCACACGATGACAATGATGGGCCCTGAGCTGGGGCAGCAGGATGACAACCCTCCCTCCCTTCCTGAGGGATCTGGTCTTTGTGCCTCAGCATGGGGGCCTCCTGTCTGGAGAAGGAGCCAGCTATGCTCATGAAGTACAGGCAATTTTGCTCTTAAGTGTCTTTTAAGGAAAGGTGATCCCATGCCCTCAAATGGAGGCTTGCAAGTTCTTGGGATCGGGGAACAGTGATGGAGATCTCAGGGGTGCCAACCCTCTAAATACATAGTTGCTTTTCAAGATTATAAGAGAAGGGCCTATGTCCTGGGCCCACTATTCTCCTTCTACAACATTTAGCACATCACTCTGGCCCATCCTTCCTAACCTCACCCCAGGACCGTCCTTCCTCAGACCCCCATCTCCTCGGCACCACGGCAGTGGCCTGCTCTCCGGCCTTCCCCTCTCACTCTCTCCTGCACTCAGATACCAGGCTATTCTTCCTGGCGCATGCTTCCGAATGTGATACTGTCCTCTCCCGTCTCAAAACCCTTTGTGTTTCCTGGTAACTCATTGACTTCTCACTTGAAATTCAAGAGCCCTTGAGATCTGGCTCCAACCTTTATTTGTAAAACTCCCAAGTCCTCTGTCTTTCCATAGCTCCCCTCTTCCCTCTCCTGTACCAGCTCTGAAGATCCCTTTTTGTTTCCCACCACATGCTGCCCCTCAAGACCAGGCCTGTGGAAGACCCCCCTTCAATGGAAAGCTTTGAGTGCTCCTCTGGGTAATAAACATCTACTTCCCTCATAGATTAGGGTTCACTTCTGGGGTATTACCCTGGGTTGGAGAGAATTCATTAGATGGTAAAAATTTGGGATTATACAGAAACGTTTGAAAACTGCTGCAAGAGATCAAGAGAGAGAGACTGGCTGGTTTGGCTCAGTGGATAGAGCGTTGGCCTGCAGACCAAAGGGTCCCCGGTTCGATTCCAGTCAAGGACATGTACCTTGGTTGCAGGCTCTTCCCTGGCCCAGGCCCTGGTCAGGGCTTATGCGGGAGACAACTCATCGATGTGTTTCCCTCACATTGATGTTTCTGTCTTTCCCTGTCTCTTCCACTCTCCCTAAAAATCAATGGGAAAATATCCTCGGGTGAGGATTAACAACAACAAAGAGAGAAAGAGAGAGAGAGAGAGAGAGAGAGAGAGAGAGAGAGAGAGAGAGAGAGACTCGTGAAGTTAGGTGTGGCGAGAACAGATGGGAAGTAAGACCCTATGGGATAAGGGCATGTCATGTTACAGGCTAGAGCCAGAAGGCTGAAACAGCTTGATCTGGCCCTGCTAGGTATTCCCTGACTCTCAGTCGAGTCCAAAAGACTTCTTAGAGCAGCGGTTCTCAACCTTCTGGCCCTTTAAATACAGTTCCTCATGTTGTGACCCAACCACAAAATTACTTTCGTTGTTACTTCATAACTGTAATGTTGCTACTGTTATGAATCGTACTGTAAATATCTGATATGCAGGATGGTCTTAGGTGACCCCTGTGAAAGGGTCGTTCGACCGCCAAAGGGGTCGCGACCCACAGGTTGAGAACTGCTGTCTTAGAGGCTGGTCCCTGTACCCCAAATTGCCACCCGTTGCTGCCATTTTCTCCCTCCCAGCTAACTGTTATCCCGTAAAAAATAAGACCAAGTAGTTTAACATTATATATATTTTTATTTGAAAATTCCATAGTTACCTAATAACATTAATTTCATCAACAACGTTACATAGCTTACACTTACAAAAGCCCAGAAGTCTTTCACTCTGACGACCCACGGGAGGATTCCCAACACTGAAGGCACGTGAGAGGGAGAACGATCACACCTGGCCGTGAACTTAGCTGGGCTCACAGGAAAGGAAAAGGTCGCCGGGTTTGGCATTTTTCATTCATTAGGATTTACAGCAGATAAAGCCAAACCATCAATAGCTTATATTTAATTAAATATTATCTAAGAAATGTTTCGCTTTACATTATGTACATGGTAATAAAATAATGCCATCTGCGCCTGGGGAAGGTTGAGGGGAAATAAATAAGGGTTTCCTCAGGCCCTGACGGTCTCTGCATCCAGGTGTGACGTGTTAAGGCTTCAGCGCTTGGGCCCTGCTGTCCAGGAGGCCCATGGTATCCTGGACCCACTTCTCCTTGGGGTCCGCGCAGATCTCCTTGTCCTTTTTGGTCTTGAAGCTGTGGGGACAATTAGATGGAGCACCTTGAGGATTTTGCCCAGGAGTGTGACCCATTGGCTCCCAGCCTTGCTCCCTTGGTGAGGGGCCTGGATTGGGACAGAGGAGCGGGGCGGATGGAAGGATGGGAGGACGGGAAGAGGAGGCCTGAAAAGGGAGCTGGCTCTTGCTGTCCCTGGGGAAGCCCTGCAGGCTCCTGGCTGAAGAAACGGGGGTGATCTGACCAAGCTCCTAGAAGGGGAGCCTGGGGGGAGGGTCGGCCCCTTCTCGTGGGCTCAGTTACTCTCTAGGGTAAAAGGCCCATTTGGTTAGATGGTGCATTTCTCTGACTCATGCGGACATGAGTCCTGACCTCAGAGCTTTTGACCCAGGGTGTCAGGATGTGGTTCACTCACATCACAGCTTCCCAGGGACACTGGCTGTTGGTGACTCTCGTGTAGCTCTTCAGCCTCTGGACGCGGATCTCCTTATCGACCACACTATAGCAGCAGGTGATGGGGATGGAAACGGAGTCTGGAAAACATTTTGCGAAGAATGAGACAGTGAGGATGTGTCGTGATCATGCATCTGGAAGGGAAGGAGGGGAAGGTAGGGGAAGACAAAGCAAATACAGGAGACCCAACGAGGACCCACCACTCCCAAGTTCAGTGCCTTAGCCCAGATCCCACAGATAAAATGCTACCTGTGAGTCAGTTTCCTCTAGTGAACTAGGGGGCCCCTCGCTAATGACTGGGAAGGGGGAAACCTTGAGTAACAAGGCGAATCCTGTGGTGTTATTATAAGGGGCCACTGATCCAAAACTTGTGACACTGGAAAGATACGTTCTAAGACTTTGCATCCAAGCTTTTTGTCCCGTTAGCTCTAGAGCCGACTCATGTCACATGCTGAGATGCCTTCGATGCTTGATGCAGCCGCTGTTCTGGAAACTCCACCGCCCACAATAAAAACGTGAAACCTCCCACAGGCATTTCTTCCTCTCCACTGCTTCCCGAAATGCCCTTCACAGCCACAACGAGAAATGGTCCTTTTATTCGGTGCCACATCCCCAAACAGTGAGAGAGTCACTGATGTAGTGACTGCATTTAGTGTCCCAAAGCCGGTCTCAGGAAAGGTCAGAGGGACTGGCCACCAAATTCTGGCTCTGCCTCTGACCAGCTGGGACATGACTGCTCTTCTCATTTCCCCTCCTGGCTTCACTTTCTCCCTCTCAGGCTTTGCAACAAGCCTGGGATGACTCATGCTGAGAGGTTCGTACCTGCAGTCATGAAAACGTTACGTCCTAGGCAGAGAAGGGCCTTACCTGGGTTGGCGAACACCTGGGCGCTAAAGGCAGCTGCTGTGAGCAGCAGGCACACCAGGGCGGCGGAGACCTTCATGGTGGAGGGTGTGAATGTGAGCTTCGGCCTGAGAGGTGCAGGTTTCAGGATTGGTCTCGACCTCTCTGCTCCTCTGGCTGCTCTGGCCATTCTGTCTGCCTTTTATAGGAGGCGGAGAGCATGGCCAGCGTCATGATCCAGGAAGGATGAAGTAAGACCCTGAATGTGCTGAGTAGGCACCAGAACCTGGGGGCAATTTCCAGACACTGAGAGAAGGAAGCTATGGGGTTTCCATTGTTTGCTTAGACTGTGTGGAGCAGAGGTGGAGGGGTATGTGGCTGTGCCCAGCAGAGTGTAGGCAGTGATCTCATTAGATCAGGAAGAGTTGCAATTTCTTTGAAATGGAAAGAGATCTGTTCAAAAGGAAGAAGGGAAGCCGAGGTCACAGTGGAGTGAAGAGAATCGAGGGTTTGACCCTCCCCAGGGCCAATAAGGCCTGGGAGGGGGCCCTAGGCTTTGCCTGTATTCTCTATCAGACTCGGGTGCTTGCAGCCTAAATTAGTCAGGCTCCTTTGAAAGCCACACAGGTCACTCGATAGAACTTGGCAGAATGGTGGAATCGGGAATTTTCAAGTCTTAAGGACCTAGAAACTTAAGTTGTGAAGCCCAAGAACTGGGCAGCACATGCTGTCCTTCTAGGCTGGTGGTTTCCAAATATTTTATTTGGACACTAGGGTTTCTTTTCAAGTAAAGTCATATGAAGAAGCCCAATATTTTATGCAGGTTCAGGTGGAACAAGTCTGCTTGAGGAAGGCCTCCCAGATCCCTTCATTCATTTTTGTTGGGTGAAGTGGTCTACAGATGTCAATTAGAAAGTTGATGAAATGTCTCCATTCAATTCCATAGTTTAAAAAGTAATAAACCAAAACGTGTGGCCAGGCCGGCGTGGCTCAGTGGTTGAGCATCGACCTGTGAACCAGGAGGTCACGGTTCGATTCCCAGTCAGGGCACATGCCCAGGTTGCAGGCTTGATCCCCAGTGTGGGGCGTGCTGGAGGCAGCCGATCAATGATTCTCTCTCATCATTGATGTTTCTATCTCTATCCCTCTCCCTTCCCCTCTGAAATCAATACAAATATATTTAAAAAATATGTGGGATAGTGGTTTCCTTTGTGATATTGACATCATAAGGGAGCTTTTGAGAGGCAGGAATGTTCTATATCTTAATCAAGGGAGTGGTGCTTAAATAGTTGTCTACATATGTGAAATTTGTGAAGTTGTACACTTGAAATTTCTATACTGCATGTTATATTTCAATATAAAGTCAATAAAAAGAAAAAACACAGCTTTATCTTGCTCATATTTCATTTGTTTTTACATGTGTATGTTAACTGCTCTATTTTTTCCCTGGTGATTAAAACATTCAGTTTCTTATATCAGATGGCCTTCTATATGAGCAGGTGACAGAAATAGGGAAATCATAGTCACTAGGGATCAATAAGGGTTAGTCAAAGTAAAGGGAATTAAATGTCAAGTAACTTGAACCTAGTCTTGATTTAGCCAAAAACTAGCCAATGACTTGTCCAATGTGACAATGGGCAAATCTTGACTCAGAGATTATCCTCATCTATAAAATTAGGGGTTTTCACAAGTTCAGGGATGACAAATAGTTTTCAGTCATGTATTAGCTTCACAAATTGATGGTGGATGACCAGAAAGGTCTGTTGAAAAAACAAACAAAAACCAGTAAGGCCTTCCATTGAGTTATTCTATATAACAAAAGCCTAATAGGCAAATCTAGTTGAATATAAAATACTGTGATTGATTAGTGATGTCTGCCATGGGTACAGTTAAAGAAGGTGGTACTACCTATGTAACATAGTTGCTATTTCTGGATTAAATCATATTTAAGCTCTTCTACAATTTAAGTCATCTATGATTGTTTTCGAAGGATCTAATCAGAGACCAGAGAAGCTAGGATGTCAAGAATGGCAGGTAATGGTTCTTAGCTCTCAGCCCTGGGAGAGGCAGAACAGATTGAAAGTCTGAATTTGGTTACTAGAAACACAAATTAATATCTGTGTTGAAGAAGGCACAAGATATTTCACTTTTTTATACGGCAAATTCCTTACCTATTCTTTACTTTTCAAATGTGAAAATGGAGTTTATTGCAAATATTAAATTATCTGACACTGATAACTTGCTTTGCAGAGCAAGTACATGTGGTAGGTGATCAATAAGCTAGCTGTTAATCAATAGTCAAATAATGTGACTGTACTGTCTAGAACATTGCTAGGAAGAGACCCAGCATGTGATTCTTGGTGTTTTGTAAAAGTTCTCCTTAAAATTGCTTCCAAGTGAAGATATGCGGCAAAAATAGACCTCTGGGAATGTCTGGGTGGTACATGAAGAAGGAAAAAGGGTGTCCCAGAAACAAAAGGGAATAGAGGTCCTGGGATCCTGGCATGAACCACAAGAGTGGAATGTTGTGGGGCCTCAGAGGGACCTGGGTCAGATCCCAGTGTTGACCCACCCAGGGGTCTTAGTTCCACTGGGAGCTCAGAGGTCTCCGTTGGCAAGTCTCTTTGATTATGCAATTTCCCATCCTCCCTCCCTCCCTCCCTCTCACTTTTTTTTTAAACTGAGTTTGAGAAATCCCACAATAAAAAATTAAAATGAAACTTTACGCTATGCTGATTCAGCAGCTGGTCTGTTCAGAAGCCTGGCCGTGCTGTTTAAGGAAGTGGTCCCCGTGCCTCTCCTCTGTCTCTTCTCCTTGGCGTCTCCCCACTGAGCATCTTCTAAAGTCGCTTGGACAACTCACCTATGGTTCGGTGGCTGGGAAGGGGAACTCAAGGTCAGACAGCTGTCTGTGAACAGAAGGCAGGAATGGTACCCCACTGGGGAAACACATCTGGATCCTTACAAGGTTCTCAAAGAATGTGTTGAAATAGTTCTGGAAATCAGAACTATTTCCAGAATAGTTCCAGATGTTTTGTTTCCAACTCTGTCCCAAGTGTCCTCAATAGCCAGGAACTAATAGAATATGTTGTGAGAGACATTTGCAATTAATTTATTTACATGTTTCCCTTTACAAACGAGGGAAAGAATCATAGAGGCAAAATGATTTGTCATAGGCTACACACCAGCAGACAGCATAGGGTGAAGCTGTGCCTAGAATTCATCCTCCAGCTACTCCGTGGCAAGACAGGACCGGTGAGTGGGGATGGCAGAACCAGAGCCATATGCAATTCCACGTTAGAAGATAAGAACCAGGCAGAAGACTACAGGGAGGTGCCCAGAAACCCCAGAGACTGTCCAATGCTTGGGTCCCCAGACTTGCCTGTAATATTAGGGTGCCCTGGGAAATTATTAATAAAATATGCCTTAAACCACAGAGTGACTCAGAACTTTTGAAGATGATGCCTCAAATTTCTGAAGTGGTCCAGGTGATTTTTAACCATGGCCAATTTGGGAGCCATTTGCCTAGTTCAAATGTCTCATTTACAGCCCTAACTGGTTTGGCTCAGTGGATAGAGCGTCGACCTGCGGACTGAAAGGTCCCAGGTTTGATTCCGGTCAAGGGCATGTACCTTGGTTGCGGGCACATCCCCAGTAGGGGGTGTGCAGGAGGCAGCTGGTTGATGTTTCTAGCTCTCTATCCCTCTCCCTTCCTCTCTGTAAAAAAATCAATAAAACATATTTAAAAAAAATAAAAATAAAAAAAGTCTCATTTACAGATATGTAAACTGAGGCACAGGGTGGGACAATGATTTGCCCAGTGTCAGTTTATTTATTTATTTATTTATTTATTTTTATTGCTTAAAGTATCACAAAGGGTATTACATATGTGTCCTTTTTTCCCCCTGCCCTTGACAATCCCCTGTGCCCAGAGTCACTTTAAAAATTAAGAACAGATTTAAAATCAGAATGCCTGATTATGTATTGGGCCTCCCTATTGGGTCTTTGGTATGGACAAAGTCTTTATTCTAATGGAGGCCCCAGAATCTGCAATGTTTTGTGTCTATAAGTTCATGTTTCAGGAATAACTGAGTGTGGTCCCAGCTGACATGTAAAATATTTCAAGGAGGATTCCTTGATCTGTCTTCATAAGAGGAGCACAGACAGATTGTATGTGGGCTTGGGAACCTGTAGCTCACCCATCAAGCCCTTGCACCATCATTCCCCACTCACCCCTAGCATTTTCTGGGCACAGAAGCCCTCCTGAGACTCAGTGAACGATCTAGTAATGTCTGTTCTTGTCCTTTATAACTCTGCGGACTTAGCTGGAATGTTAGGTAACACTCCTGAATGGTATTTGGGGATAAGGGTCTTTGAGGAAGAGGGTAGACAGGGTTGTTCGACTTAATATGAGGGCAAGTCCATGGTATTCTGGGACCTAGGACTTTGTCCTGATGGAGTGAGCTGTTCTGTTGCTCCTGGGGCTTTTGGAAGGGGGTGGTTTCACTGCGATGTGGATAGACGTCTCCAGACCTTCTCTGCTGGAGCATTTGCTGTGATCCTGGGTTCCTGGCTGGCTGGGTAGCATGAATTAAAGCATTGCACTATAGCGGGCATGTATATTACTTATGTTTTCACTTTAAAAATAATTTAAATTAACATTATGATGGAAAAGCCAGTTTAAAAGTCCTGATGTATAGCTTTATTTCTGCAGCTGTGGAATTCATACATAGCAATGTATGAAATGTTGTACTTTAATACCTATCACCATATTGCTTTCTAGGAAGTTCACCTTGGACAACATTGATTATTTATGTTAAGCAGGATCATGGGCAACCCCCGAATGTTCACTCCCTAATCTCTGGAATCTCTGATTGTTACCTTACATGGCAAAAGGATCTTTGCAGACGTGACTCAAGGTAAGACCTTGAGAACAGAGTACAGTTATTCTGAGTTATCCAGGTGGGCCCACTCTAATCACAAGAGAGATGTGACAGAAAAAGGAATTAATTTATGTTGCTTAAGGCTTTAAGCCACTAATTTTGTGGTACTTTATTCCGACAGTAGTAGAAAACGAGCACATTATTTTTAAGAAATGTTCGATGCTTTGTTAAAAAAATATGATCTTGTAACAGGCAAAACTAATATATCGTGATAGAATTCAGGTGAGAGGTTCCCTTTAGGCGCGAT